GAAGAGAGAGAGAGAGAGAGAGAGAGAGAGACATGGATCGGTTGCCTTCCCAACTTGTCTTGACTGGGGATTGAACCCACAACCTGGGTTTGTGCCCTAACCGGGAATGGAAACCACCACCCTTCAGTGTATGGAACAATGCTCCAACCAACTGAGCCACACCAGCCAGGGCCAGTCTTTTGATTCAGAACTGCCCCCTCTCAGGGTGTAATTGTGGCATTTTGTGGCATATGGGACCTGCCCATGAGCTCTGGGAAACCCATCAGGTGGATCCAGGGGATTCTAACATCTCTGTACCAAGAAGATTCTTTCCCAATACCCAGGAAATGCTTAGGAAAATGTATCCAAGTCGCAAGAGGAGATCATGGTGCAGGGCAAACGAAGGGTGTTCTAAAGGGCAGAGAGAGGCACTCCCAGGCGGGTGTGAGAGATGGACCACGGGGGCTTTGGCTCTCGGATTGAGTACCTAGGCCAGCTCACCTTCACTTCAAGTGCACTGACAAGTTCTATAAATCTTCCTAACATGGGTACACTTTGTTTCCATAGGAAAGTTTTTCTATTGTACATTGCAGTGCCATAAATTCCAAACAGTCCAGCTTGGCCTCAAGAAAGACCAAAGTGATCCACAGTGAGGCACAAAGGATGGAGCCCAGATACGGGCACAGTGCTGGCTCCACCACATGCACAGGCTGATCCCACTGGCTGCCTCACGCACAACACACCGGGACAGAGCCCCCGAAAGGAAACAAACACGACGCTCCCGAGAGGAGGAGCACCGGCGGGACCCAAAGTAGCTGATCTGCAAAGGGAGACCCTAATCTAAAGCAGTAAGGAAAAATAAGAATAAGAAAAAAGTGTTATTTTTAAAAATCCCTATTTACCACTTTTCTTTCCATGTCATCTCAAATATTTTGCCATTGCTCTCCCTCTGGTCGCAGACAGTGTAGATCCACTTTTCCTCCCCCCCCATCTCCTTAGGCCAAATTTATTGCCTCGTCCAGTATCATGTTCACATCCTTTTGCTAGGTAACAGTTAACAGCGTCAGAAGGTTCCAGGTCCATATCACCATCCTCAGGAGCACTGAATTACATTAGTAAGGGAGATTGGAAAGGTGTACATTGGGTGCAGTGGGACAGATGGTGAGAAACCCCGGACAGTGGTCCCAATGGGAGTTTCAGCTTCATCGGGGGTGACCAAGGTTTGCTGAGGATTTTCCTGGTTTCATGACCTAATCCCCTCAGTCTCAGGCATACATGGACAGTTATAAAAAACTGGGAACTTTATAAAAAACACTGATGTCCAGGGCTCCTGTCCAGACATTACCTTTTAATTGGCCTGCAGTGGGGCTGGGCATCAGTATTGTTTAAAAGTCCCCGTAGGGGGTTCTGATGCTCAGTGAAGGCTGAAGATCACACCTGTAAGAGATAAGCAACTTGCACCAGGCCAGAGAAAAAAAGAATTCTCTTAGGACTTGATGTGTCCTCTGATGGATTTCTCACCTGACCCCAATTTCTCAGAGGCCTTTGGGAAATACAGGTTCTTACAGTTTCACACTCTCCCAGTCCTCAAAAGATAAAAAAAGAGCTAAACAAAGAAATGAGAAAATCCAATGAAATCTAATATCTAAAGTCACATAGTGATATATCTGACTTAGATAATTGCACAGATAACGAGATGTGAACAATTTTTAGGAGACCGTGTGTCTTACACAGTATCACCTGGTCTCTAAAGAATCCAATGCCAATGAATTAAAAATTCAAAGTGAAAAGACCATCACCAGGCTCAGCTGATGATGCCCCAGGGGTATGCACCTTCCCCTGCTGAGAGCAGCACCCCAGCCACCGACCCATATTCTCCTTGTATTCAGAGATCCCTCAATACATACAAAACAATTCCAGCAGCTCTTGGCAAAATCCAAGGATGCTTTCCAAGGAGAGAAATGCCAAACCAAATAAAAGAAACAAACAAAAGAACAAATAAAACCAAGCAAACAAAAAAATTAAGAGCCAAAAAATGAAAAGAAAAAAAAAATTCTTTAGTATTTCTCCATAAGTTTTACTGCAACTTGGGTGGATTTTCTCTGATTTTAAGCTCAACGTCTTAGAAACCCAGCTGGAACCAGCATGAGGCCGTGGGAAAGGAGCTCACTCTGGTTTGCTTCTCCAGACAGCAGGAGACTGCTGGCTTCTGATCTAGCCAAAGACCAGGGCTAGAATGTTCCATGAGGATTTGGACTCAGGTCAGTAACGAAGTGTTCCTTGACTGGGCACTGTCCTCTGTGCACTCCTGGATACCTCAGCAGGGCCAGCGGGGAGCAAGCTAAGCATGTCCCAGGTCCTGGGTCCCAACCCTCTCTTCATCTTCATAGTGGAGACCCATCCACTTTGAACCCAGCTACAAGAAGGGACTGGTAGCAAGCTGTATATAGTGAGCCTGGAAAATCATTAGATTAGGGCAAGAGAGGAATGCAGGTTATGACAGACACCTGAGAACTTCAATTTCATATATAAGGCTAGTTATAAGTTTCTATTTAAAATAGGGTAATTGTTAGAGCGCTGGTATTCAGTACAGAATTCTGCAGCTCCATGCATCAGAGTTTCCTGGAGAATGGAAAATATATGGATTCTGTGGCCACAGCTCTACAGATCTCCAGTCAATAATCTGGCGCTGGGACCCAGGAATCTCTATTTTGAAAACTCCAGTGATTTTTGCACATACCAGGCCTATAAGCGTGCTCTGTAGGCCTTTTCGCTCCATCAGCTGTGTCTCTGAGGTTAGAAGACCACAGATCTATGTTCTAAACTGACACGATTCTAAAGAAAAAGTGAGAACCTTGGGGTCTTCAGTTTTCAGACACAAGATCTGTTGAAGAGTAGTTACCATCACTGTTTTTTTAAATTTCTCCCATGTCTGCCTTCTCATTCACCTGATGAGCCCCTCTGGCCTCACCAGGCAAGCCCTGGATGGGTGCCCCATGTTTGTTCCTTCAGGGATAGGAGCTGAAGGTGCTTTACTATTAGGGTGACCATATCATGGACCTTCCTAACTGGGGCACTTTGAAAGTGAAGGGGGCCCTATTAGTAATCATGCTGGGCAGCAGGCATAAACTGAGACTGTCTAGAGCAAACCCTCATATATATTGATTCTATTATTTCTCACTAAGCCCCACCTCTTGGCCGTCCCCTATTCCTTAAATCTGCTGGTCAGTGACAAAAATCTGTCTGAAACTTCTTCCCCTCCCATCCATTATGCAAGCTTTGAACATTCTGACATTTGATTGAAGGTTTGTGGCCTTATGTCTAACTCTGCTCTTCTGTTAAGTCCCTTTTATTACAACATGTTTCCCTCCTATAGAAAAGTATATAGAATGACATGACCACTTCTGACCCTATCAGACGTCTAACAGATCCAGGTAGGACTCCTCATAGTCCCTTCCCCTTGCCATCCCTCCTTCCCTCACCAGGGAATCACCCTCCCCGCCCCCGAAGTAGCATTCCTGGATTTATCTGTCCTTTGCATGTTTTACCACCCATGCATGAACCATAAATAATGTCTGGCATTGTCCTCCCTGTTTTACAATGGTATGTGTTATTCTGCAATTTGCCTTTCCTCACGAACATGTTTTTTAAGAGATTTCTTTATATTGATACATGTCTGTCTCATTCATTTCAAACACTGCAAAGAAGTCCATTCTGGTAGATCACAATTTAGCTATTCATTCTCCTATTCATGTACATTTATGTTTCTCCAAATTTTTTCTCATTTACAAATAAGGCCTCTCTAAAAATTCTACTATATATCTTTCTTTGGAACATGTATGAGAGTTTCTCTAGGGTATATTCTTAGAAGTTGAATTTGAAGTGGTAGGTTTGTGCCTACATAGATAATGCTAAATTTCTCTCTAAAATGACAGGAGGAGCTTACACTCCCGGTATCTGCATTGAATAGGTCTCCTTTCCCCCCACACTTGCTAACACAGGGTGTTATCAGCTCTATTGATTTTATCACTCTGGTATATGAAATGGTGCCTTGTTCTTTTAAATTGCATTTCCCCAATCACTAGTGATTTTGAACATCTTTTCACATATTTATTAGCCATTTAGGGTTCCTGTTCTGTGAGTAACCCATTCATACTCTGCCTTTTCCCCCCTCTGGGTTGTTTGGTTCTTGCTGATTTGTGGTAGTTCTTTCCAAATTCTGGATACAACCCTTTGTTGGTTGCATGCTTTGTAAATCTCCCAGCTCGTGGCTTGAATTTTAATTTTGTTTGCGTGTTCCTGTTGAATATAAGTTTTTATTTTAGTGGACTCAGATTTCTCAGTCTTTGTTACAGTTTGTACTTTTTTGTGTCTTGTTTAAAAACTCTTTCCCTACCTTGAGACCCAAATGATATTCTCTTATGTTTTCTTCTGAAAGTTTTAAAATGCTATTCTTCATACCTTACTTATCTTAGAATTGATTTCATGGCTGAAGAGAGAGAGGGCTCTAACTTCATTTTATCCCTAGGGTTAAGCAACTGTCCTACTTTATCATTTATTGACTAGTCCATCCTTTCTTCCACTGATGCACAGACCGGGGAATGCCTTTTACTCTTATTTCATCCCATAGATCTATTTATTGATTCCTGTACCATTACCACAATCTTTTTTTTTTTTCTTTTAATGTTTTTATTGATTTCAGAGAGAGGAAGGGAGAGGGAGAGAGAGACAGAAACATCAGTGATGAGAGACGGTCATCGATCGGCTGCCTCCTGCATGCCCCCTACTAGGATCGAGCCTGCAACCTGGGCACGTGCCCTGACCAGGAATTGAACTGGCAACCTTTTGGTGTATGGATGACACCTAACCAACTGAGCCACACTGGCCAGGGCTACCCTTAGTTTTTTCATTTTCATAATTGTCTCAGCTGTTCCCGGTCCCACTTCTTCATGCAACCCCTGAGAGTGAGCCAAGGAGTGAGGCTGCCTCTGTCAGCTTCTTCACATTGTAGAATTTTCACTTTTTCCTCAGGAAACTTCATGCATTGCTGGTGATACATGACCACCGACACACAGACCGAGGGAGCCAACATCAATTCATGTGGTAAATATTTATAGAGCTTAATCTTATTATTTCTCTTTTGAATAAAGATTATATAGAAAGCAGTTAGACGATTTTCTTCCCACGGCTTAGTGGATACTTATATGCCCAAAGATTGCAAACCCCATTTGAAAAACTCTTGTCAAGATTAATGTGCCTCCTGGACTTTAGCAGATATTGCCAAATTTCTCTCTAAAATGACTGGACCAGGTTATACTCCCAGGATCTGCAAAGAAAAGTTCCCCTATCTCCCTATCCTTGTCAACACACAGTATTATCAGCTATGTTAATTTTATCACTCTTGCATATGCAATGGTGCCTTGTTACTTTAAATTGCATTTCCCAATTACTAGTGATTTTGAACACCTTTTCACATATATATTAGCCACCTAAGGTTCCTCTTCTGTGAATTGCTCATTTATATTCTTTTAAAATAATAGATTCCTGGTCCCCTCATAGGACTAAATCAGAATTTCTGGAGGTGAAGCCTGAAAGGTTGTCTTTTAAACAGTGCCCTGCATAATTCTGTTGAACTTCCAGGTTTGAGAACCACAGTACTCATTCACTTAGTAAAATGGGTCATTATTCTAGGAGCAAAATTAGATTTTCTGGCCTCTAGGAGACGCTCAGGCTTCTCCCTTCCCCATCTACCACTTCACCCCACCAATTTTTCACATAGGACTTGCTAAGCACTCCATAACCCCAGGGCCAAATTCTGCCCGCCTGTCTTTGTATGGCTTATGAACTGCAAGTGGTTTTTAAATGAACTTTAGATGGTTGAAACAAATCAAAAGAAGAAAATATTTTATAAGATATGAAAATTACATGAAATTCCAATTTCAGCGCCCGTAAAGAAGGTTTTATTGGAATACAGCCAAGCCCATTCAAGCATGTATTAGCTGCGGTAGCTTTTGCACTACAATGGCAGAGCTGAGTACAGTAGTGCCCCTTATCCAACGTTGGGCTTTCTCGGTTTCAGTTACTTGTGGTCAATCACGACTCGAAAATATTACATGGAAGATTCCAGACATGAACTATGAGTAATTTAAAATTGCATACTGTTCTGAGTAGCGTGATGAAATCTCATGCTGTTGTTCCACCTGGGACGCATATGATCTTATCGCCCAGTGTCTCCACGCTGTATATGCTATCCACCTGTTACTCACAGTGCTTGTGTTCAAGTAACCCATATTTTACTTAATAATGGCCCCAGAGTGCAAGAGTCCGATACTGGCAATTCGGATATGACAAAGAGAAAAAACCATAACTACTTTCTTTAAATGAAAATTCCCAACTTAGTAAAGAAACAAAAAAAGTGTATGCTGAGGTTGCTAAGATCTACAGGGAAAATGAATCTTCTCTCTATAAAATTGCCTGATTTATAAATAAAACTTATCATAGGTATGTATGTAAAGGAAAAAACCTAGTATATATGGGGTTCAGTACTATCTGTGGTTTCAGGCATTCACTGGGGGTCTTAGAATGCTCCCCCGCAGATAAGGCATGACTACTGTACTTGCAACAGAACCTGTATGGCCCTCAAAGCCTAAAATATTTTCTAACTGGCCCATTTGCCAAAACAGTTTGCCAACTCTTAGTCTAGGGTGATTGGCAAGACTGTTATTGGGCCATAGAGCAAGGGACGGACCGCACCTTCACAGAGGCCCCGAGTCTGAGCAGTGTTCTCCCTTGTGACTCTGCCGCTTTCTCCTCAAGGCCTCAGGTCAGAACCGCTTTAAGACCTTTGCAGTCCCTAACCCCTCCTACTTTACCACACCAAACTTTACTAAAATGTAATATATATGCAACTTAAGAGTTGTGTTGCAGTGCAGTTTTTTCCAGGCGACAGAACATTACATTTTGTAGATATTTAAATTAAAAACGCACTATTTAGAAGAGTGACCTGGCTTAGATTCAGAATCAAGGACTCAGAAACCAGATGCCTGGGTTCAAATCCTGGTCCTACTACTTTATTGGCAGAGCGGCTAGCTACTAGATGCCTCAGTTTCCCCAACTGCAGCGTGGAGATAGAAGTAACAGCACCAGAGGGGTCGTGAGGAGTAAATGAGTTCGTATGAGAGAAGCTCTCAGAACAGAGCCTGGGGCACAGCAAGTTCTAGAGAGCTGTTTGTCAAAATTTCAATTTTATGTTGCAGTTCTCTTCATATTTCAGAACCTGTATAATTTTCAAGTTGGTGCTCACGCACGCTTTAAAATAAGCCCTTGAAAAGTCCATTGGGCCTCATGCACCGTCTGTAGCACCACATGATTTAGAGGAGCTCTGCCTGTCTTTAGGGAGCCGGAATCTCCCTGCAATTCTGAGTGTGTGTTTCCCTGGGGTTTACTTCTTGTTTGGTTCACCTTCATTTACCATCAGAGAAGCAAGACCTAGAAGGCTGAAGTTAAGGTCACGCCCTTTGGAGGAAAGGACTAGGATAGACAGTTGGCCTGCTACCGTCCTAAACCTTGGGCTGGGACTCCGTGAAGTCAGCTTCATTCATCAGAAGACCATGTTGGAATAGTCACACGTTAGGTTAGGATGCGCTATTCTATAGGCCGTGTGGGTCCAGAGTCCTGGGTGCTAGTCAAGACATGAATATTCGAGATGTTGCCTCACGGAATGTATTCTGTAGTAAAATAATGCATTTGGCTACCACCACCTCTGACTGTAGGAATCCTCTATATCTCATTAGCTTGACCTTCTTAGGCTGGAGACCGGGTCCCTTACTGGCCAGCTCCTCCCTCTCACTGGGCAAGGGGTCACTATCTTTCTGCAGCCCAGGCCCTCTGTCTGGACCGAAGAGAACTTGGCAAGGATCTCCAGGAGCTTCATTGCTGCGTTGCTCTGTTTCCCTTTTCTGTCTGGCATGTTTAGGTGGACTTCCAGCCAACAATAACCCTAGTTGGCATGATTTTATACCAAACCATTTTTCAAGTTCTTCTTCTCATTTTCCCTCTGCAAACCTGAGCGTTTCTCTGTAATGCATAGTATCTTTGTAAGCAGGTGAGAGACCTCCCTCTGCTGGACAGACACACAACTGCTGCCCGTATTTAGAGTGAAGAATACTTGTTTTTTTTGTAATATATTGAAAAAGAAAATAATTTATGTCTCTGGAGAAAAAAAGCTTAACAATACAGCTTGTCTTGCCGTAAGATGAACTGTCACCAGGTCTCTGCTCCTTCCTTACCTTTTGCCCAAAGGGGCCGGATGAGTTTTGCGAAGACCCATCGTGGTAACAACCCAAACACCAGGCTGTTGTCAGCTTTTTTGTGTGCAGTGATGTGAAACGGATGCAGAGCCGGCAGGCAGGGCCAACGTGCCCTTAACTTGGTCCTAATGGGGAAATTTATTCTAAAGCCAATTTGATTCTAAATGCAGGGCACACGCGAGTTCAGATGGGTGCTATATTCCTGACGCAGGGCAGTGTTTGCAATGCCTGTCTAGGGAGAAATTCTGTAGCCTTTCTGCAACTTGTTCTCATGATTTCCCTCTCTCCCGATGACTCGTTTTTTCTCATTCTTCAGAAATAGGTATTGGCTAGGCAGGCGGAACAGCATGTTTATGGCTCAAGAGAGAGAAACAAGTTGGGTACATTGTGACCATTTTCCATTAACTCTAACTAACTAGAATATGGGATGCAGAAGAGATAATGCTGGAGAGGTGAGCTGGGTACAGGCTGAATAGGTCTTTTATGCCTACTTGAGACTTTATCTTGACACAAGGGTCTTAAAAGCCTACATGGGACAGGTGGATTTGAAAACGACTCCAACAGCTGAGTGGAGGTAGGAGAGAAATTGACCTATTCAACTGACAACTACAATATTACCAGCCAACAGTGGCCGTGTGCAAGTAATATTTTTTTTTTCAAACAAATCTTTTTAAAAATTTTTGGCCATTAGTTATCCCCCCCCCCC